ATCAGAGTTTTTGCATGTAAAGTAAAGAAAGCATGGGAGTTGGTTTAAAAACCAGATAACTGCTAACAGATTATTACTTTCCATATTACTTTCCATATTGCATACAAGAAAAATAGAAAAGATGAGAAGCAGATTATATTATGCAGGTTGGTTGATTTGCACTGAACTTGGAACATAAGACACGGCATGCGGGAAACCCACTTTGAAGCTGCTTATACTTTTTCCTCTTGTGTTGTATCTGTTTTCTCCAGTGATGTAAGCTATGTGTTGAGTGCGGAATGATGTATCTTTATCTTCATACAAAAAAACCGCGGCTTTCCTCTCCTCGTTAGTAAGGAAACTCCCCCCACAACAGAAAGGAAACCCACTGACTGGATTCATACCAACCGCTAGGAGCTTGCTCCATGACACCGCATTGGGCTCAATCTTTGTGGTAACCCAAACCTCCATCTCATATGTATCCCAACTGTCAAAGAACACCGCAAGCTGCTCATCTCTAACACTAGACAGAGTCCCAGCATAAAAAAAGACTCGAACGGCAGAGGCAGACGCGGTCCAAATCGCTCTCTTGTTAAATCAAAATAGAGTAAGAAACAAGCGACGACTCCTCCTCCTCCCTTATCTTGAGCATACCAATACGTATTTCCCTTCAAAGACAGGCCAGAGTTATCATAATCTATTTCCCAGTCTGGATTAACATCAAGAACCCTCCATGAACATGAATTAGAGCTTAGTTCGTAGATTTCGTGCACAGATTTGTCCTGAACATATCTCAGGATTTTAAATGTGCGGTTCTTGTCGTATCCGAGGGCATGACAATGAAAGAATGCTAAATCGTGAACAAACTTGTGCTCGACGCAGATCCACCGAGTTTGGCCAGTATAAGGGTTCCAAACCACGAGGCTAGCGTGGTCTAATGTGGTGCATAACAATAAACCATCGCAGTGACATAATCGAGACATATTGAGCTCATCTGAATCATTGAGGCTTATAAGTTTGCCTATAGACTTTACAGACGGATCAGAGTCGTTGTGGAGATTGACGCTCATCAAATTAAGACTACGATTCATCAAAGCGATCGCCACAAACTCCCCTTCCCTTCTTGCTGTTGCTTGTTGAGCAAGGTGCTTCTTTGTAAAGTTTTCATCTTTGGATAAAGTGTTCCACTTTTTGCAAGTAGACTGGACTCTTCTCAGTGATGTCACGGAACCCTAGAGAGAATCTCTTCTAACAAATCCATTGGATGATTGTTCATCTTCCTCATTGATCTTCAAATTGCGACCAAGGATCAATGTTATAAAATACGGTCCAGGCACCCGCATATACGGCGTCCAGACGCTATACAGTGGCCGTACCGTATTTATGCTATACGTATTTTTAAATGAAAAAAATTATCTTTTTATATACGGAAACTAAATGATCAAATATACAATTTTAACAGGTATATTTTCCAAAAATTTCAAATTAAACTATGTTTTTGACTTTTTTCCAAAAGTATAATTGATATAATTCTATTTTTTGTTATTTGAAACAATTTTTAACTATATTATTTTACTATTTGAATTAAAACTACCATGTTAATGTTAATTATTTAAGTTTTTTTTAATAGAATTCATGATAATATTTTTTTTATTACCTATTAAAACAAA